GGGAGGGGCCCTGAAGCCCGACCTATCAGGGGCTCGGCCCGGCCGGCGCCCTGTCACGTGATGCCAGAGGGGCGGGTTGCCGGGGAAAACCAGGAAGAGAGGGCGGAGCGGGAGCTCGGAGGCTGCTGCTGAGCGTGGGCGTGGGCCGCCGGGACTGGCGAGCGGCAGGCTCGCGTTCGTGCATGATGTTCTTTTCAGAGGCTTCCATATTCAGCCTGGAGGCTCAGAACTAAGATGAGGCCCGAGGTGTCCGAATGCTCACTTTACGGTTTAACTGAACTACGGGGGACTAAAGGAATATTAGTTAGTAGGTGGCTGTATGGATATTCTGTTTCGTAAATGACTTCCCGGTTTCCCGATAAAATTGGCCTTATTTATCAACTAATATTCACTAAGTCTGGATGTCCAGACCCTGGATCACTTGCGTGCACTTTTGAGATAGAGCCTGTATCCAGCTGTACAAACTGCTACTACTTGTTCTGTAGACAAGCCTGTCTAGCCCATGATCCTGGGATTTGCTTGTGACTCTTAATCCTGTTGACAGTTTATTGGATGTGTAGTATGTGGTAGCTTCGTTATTTCAAATAGTTCTCCCAACAGATACATGCAATAAGAGAACCATTTTTCAAAAGGAAAAAACACTCAAAGGAATTATTGTTTGAGGAAATAACCTACCTAGTTATCACAGCCTGCGTTTCCAGAATTCGCTTCATACTCAGGATCCTCCTGTCTTAGTCTTCTGGGTCTGTGGTTACAGGTCTGCACCAGCACACACACACATACACACGAACACAGAAAACGTATTTTCTTAAGCAGAGGAAAGAGGATTAAAGGACAGAGAAATTTCATCAGATTCCCTCCAAATATCAGTTTCCCTTGGGAATACCTGCCACTGAAAATGTGGCTTCGAAGCTGGGGATAGTGGTTAACCCTTGTGGTCCCAGCACTCAGGAGATGGAGGCAGGAGGATGTGAAGTTTATTCTTAGCTACACTGAGTTGTATGATAGCCAGGTCTTCCTAAAAACAGGTCTCAACCCACCCTTACACCGCCCCTAAAAAAGAACCACCCCTACCCCGGCCCTGACTGCCACTATGGCATACATCCTGGCAAGTGTTGGGGTATCAATATCACAATCACGGGCTGGGATGGGATGTGGTGACACACATCTGTGACACCAGCACTGGGAAGCCTAGGGCAAGCCCAAGCTACATTATGATAGGTACCCTGGTTCAAAAGCAAACCACCATAACTTGGGAATAAGAAAGATTTGCTGAGATCATGCTCCTGAAGAAGACTGAGTGGGACTAGCAATGTGAGATTCATCCTCTGCCATCCATGCCAGACATACAGCCAGTCACTATGTTACTGACTTAGTAACACGCTGGATTAGAATACTTGGTGGACCACATGTGAACAAGTACAGATTATTTAAAGCTTGATGAAACTGGAATCGGAATGAGAACTGAGTGAAATAATTTACATTGGGTTGGTAAAGCACTTGTAACACAAATGTGAGGACCTGAATTTGAATGCCCAGAATCGATGTAAAAGCTGGCTGTGTATCAGGAACATCTGTAATCCCAACATTCCTGCAGGGAAATGGGAGTCTGAGATAAGAGAGTCCCCAGAAACTCACAGGCTGGTCAGCCTGGCATACACAGTGATGATGAGACCCTATCTCAAACGGTGGAATGCAAGGATGGACACCCAAGTCTGGACACCATGACACATCTGCATGCCCACATTCACACACACGAGTGCAAGCATGCATACACACGATGTATATATATATACATGCATATGTAAAATAAGATAAAAATATTGTCTAAAAATAAGTCATATAACCAGCATGCCTGCCATAGTTAGCACATAATGAATACTACAACAGTAGTAGTATTAGACTATCCTAAGGGCATCATTTAGAAGATCAGCTGTAGGCTAAACAGCATAGACAACTCAGCAATTTAACAGCCACTAGACCAGGCCAACCTTAAATTTGTGGCCATCCTGCTTCTGCCTACCTCCAGAGTACATGTATTACAAGCATGAACCACCATATTAGGCTAAAACAATTTTTTTGGATCCCAGATTAATAGGTAACTGTAGATGCATAGGAAGAAAGTAAAACAGTTTATCTCTCCTCCAGAATGCCAAGCACACAGTTGGACCCCAATGACTAATGATGTGATGAGTATTTACTACCTGGGAACTAAACAGACTATAATTGTCTTAAGTCTGACCATAGCTGTGTCGAACTATCCCCATTAGGTAGAATGGAAAATTGAAAATCCAGTAGAAAAACTGGTTTGAGAAGTTGGAACCATGTCCCTGGATTTATTTATGTGATGTTCATGTTTTAAATCTCCAGAAGTTCCCCCCCTTGCTTATTCTTTCAGAGAGCCATATTTGGAAGCTTTCTAGCAAATGGCTAGCCCTTCTGTTATTAAACTACCTTTCAGACATAGGCATTTGCATAGCTACCAGGCAGCAGGTTCATATCCTATCACAAGGCTCTGCCATTAGTGGCATCTGCTGGTCAGTTACACCACTGTATAGCCTTTGTGTTTTCTGTTGTCTAGCAAGGGACTGAGTTTTGTCCAGTGGAGACTTTCCATCAAGGTTTAGATTCTGCTCAGGAACTGAATGAAATCACAGGCTTATGATTGATCTGTGTTTCTTTAGGCTTTATGCAGCCAGATTCTACTACAAAGTTGGCAGAAAGACTCAGGGATAGCGTTGGCTTGAGGGTTAGGAGGCTTTTATTCTAGCCACAAAGTGGTGGCCAGCTGGCATTACTACTTCCAAAAGTCTGTAACAATGCTGCTCAGAAAAAAATGTATGTAGTAGAACAGCCTGGATTAGAAAAACAAGACTTTACACAAAGATGAGACAATGGTACAAACAAAATAAGAAATGCATAGGATGCCACTAAATTCCTCAAAGTAATTTATTTTTCAATAGGTAGCATTCATATGTGGTATAACACTCAATAGCTCAAAAAGATTCAAGCAAAAAGACCTATTCTAGTAGGTCACTCTGGGCTACATAGTATGTACCTTGTCTCAAAAAAAGTACAAAAATATTTCTGGCGACTGTTAACTTGTTTGGGCTCTGTGATTTCATAGGTGTTCCCCATATCCAATCTCCCTCACTTTAAACTTAAATGTGCAAGAGGCTGAAGCAAGTGAGTTGGTTGACTCTAGGGCTTTGACACCAGCCTGGGTAACAGAGTGTCCCTCCAAAAAACAAAATGCTTCAGGCAATGGAGGTGCACACCTTTAATCCCAGCACTCAGGAGGCAGAGGTAGGTGGAACTATGTGAGTTCCAGGCCAGCATGGGATACCAAGTGAGATACTGTCTCAAGAACAAACTTTGGCCAAGACCCTAATTTTGTGCTATGCTATCCAAGGTGACCAGGGTTCCAGATTATTCCCCATAAGAAATTTACACAGAGCAGATCATGCTCTGTGACTCTGTATGCCCTAATGACATGAAAAACAGAGAAATCACTTTAAAGAAAAGTTATCAAAGGCCTTGCATTTTCTTACTATTTCTGTTTGTTTGTTTGTAGATAGGATCTTATGTGGCTAAGCCTGGCCTTGAACAACTGATCCTCCTGCCTTTGCATCCCAAGTGCTGGGATTACAGATGGGCACCCCCACACCCAACCCTACATTGCCTTATGACCTAAAGATTGCACTGTGTGTGAATCCTCATTGGAGCAGACTGGGTCCTGCTTGCTGATTCCACACGTCTGTTTAAGTGTCAACCTTCTGGGGCTAAGTGATTTTTCTGTGGACAACTCTAGACTGTGAGATACAGTCGGGAGTCGCAGCTTCAAAAGCGAGAATAATTAACCCAGAACTGGAAAATCTCCAGGAAAAGCTGTGTCCCTGACACTAGGCACTGACTTTTTCCTGAGAATATGACAGTATTGCTGAGTAGTCGAAAAGAGGCTCATTGATGCTGGCAATTGGATCACATCCCTCATTCATCTCATCTAAAAAGCATTCTTTAGGGTGGATGTGATTCCCACTGTGATCTCTCAATGGGACAGTGTCCTTATGTAATAGCTCTGAGCCTCACTTTCTTATTTTACCCTGAAAACATCCAGTTCAGGCCCCAAGTACCCCATTATTTATCTATCCTGGTCATACTCAGCACCAGGCCTGCCATAGTATAGGGCAGACTTGTAGATCTAAGGAGCAGATTAAGATCCAAACCTTATCCCATATTCCAAGGTTCAAGACCCCTCTCTCCTCTGTGCAGTCTACTTGCCCCCACCCCTCTCCTTTCCTCCACTACCCATCTAAGCACAGCAAATACTTAACTGCCTTGAATTATTCATGCCATGTGTGTCAGTGTTATTT